TTTTTCCTCTCTACTTTTCTCCTCATGCCCCAAACATACCCTTCTTCCTCCATTTGTGGCCAGAAATCTGGAAGTAATCACTGACTACTTCCTTTTTCTTCTTTTCACTTCAACCAGTTACTTATGTTGCCTTTCTCATCTCGTTAACATCTCCCACCTGCCATTCATTCTACCTTCATCACCTCTGCTTTAATTACGAGTCCTTAGCACTTCACTTTTACAACTGTACCTTTTACCTGGGCTTCTCTTAGTCTAGTTCCCTTCTAATCCTTTGTCTATACAAAGGGCAGAATGTTCTTTGAAAAGTTCTAACAGCACTCCCTAACTGAAAATCCTTCAATATCTCAGTGTTCAAGATTAAGACAAATCCCAAACCCAGTAGAAAGCTTGTCATGAGCAGACACTCTCACCTCTCACTTCTGCGCACAAGCTTTGCTTGATCCTGGGCATAGGAATGCAGCCCATCTCCTTTCTGAAACCAGTGCTTTCATCACGCAGTTTGCTCTGCTTGGGAGAACCTTCATCCACTTAGCTGCCCACCCACCAACCTCTTCTGCCTGGCTACTTCCAAATCCTCTTTTAAAACTCATTGGACCTTCCCCTGATATTCTCTCCACTCCATTTTCAATTAGGTCTCCTAGATGTACTCCAGGATTACCACCAGCAGAGGATGATCACACCACAATCTATTCACTGATTTTTGTATTTTCCACTAAAGTCTGAAAAGTAAAGCCTATGTTTTATCTTCAGATTGCTGGGATAGAACTAATAGGTGCTCAATAAATGCTTATAGAGAAAGAACTAAAACTCTGCCTCTGAATCAATGCTCAATACTCTTTCTACTTATAGAGAGATGGTACTGGCCAGTACAAGCCTCACTCTGTTTGGTGTGCAGTCCTGCAAAAATGACTGTGCAGCTGAAACTGGATGCTGCCTTTCTCATCTCATTTTTTATTGTAAAACTAGAGGCCCAGGGTGCAAAATTCATGAATGGGGGTGGGGGGCGTCCCTCAGCCCAGCCTGTGCCTTCTCTAATCTGGGACATCCCTCTCACAATCCAGGACTGCTCCCAACCGCTCGCCTACCTGCCTGCCTGCCCCTAACCACTCCCCTGCCAGCTAGGTCACCCCCAACTGTCCTCTCCTGCCAGCCATCTTGTGGCAGCCATCTTGTGTCCACATGGGGGTGGCCATCTTTGTGAGTTGGAGAGATAGTCAATTTGCATATTACTTCTTTATTATAAAGGATTTGCATGTATCAAGAACATTTTCTATGCATTGGCAAATTGTCATACTCCTTTCTAAGTTTATCCCTTGTACTTTCAATGTTATAGATTATCTGAGTGTTCCTTTAGGCATCATTTCCTGTGAAACATCATCATCTTTGTGAGCCAACCCTCTCTTTTAATATCCATTTCTGTAAAATGTCATGTGAGTTTACTATCTCTGGGAGACAAGGAGGCCACACAACTGCCCACTTTTCTATATGTATGTGAACTGACAACACATGTACAGTGACCAGTCACCAATGGACTTGGAAGAGATAAATTGGTCACAGATCACTTGCACATTTGGAGAGCTAGCAACTGAGTTTGTACTTTATGCAATTATAGCAAATATATTGTAGTAACTGAAATTTGAACAGTGTTTTGGGGGAACAGGTATATTTAATTGGACTGTGGTAACTGAAATTCAAGCAATTCATGCATATCAAAACCATGCACAGCAAGGTCAATCTGTAGTTTAAATTATAAATTTGGAGCCAGATTTCTAGACATAAATCACCACTCTACCACTTATTATTTATATGCCATTAGGTAACTCATTTGATTTTTCTGGGTTTCAGGTTTTTTTCATCACTAAAAGGGAGATAATAGTACAAATCTCAGAGTTATTAAGAGGACTAAATATACATAGAATGTTTATGAACACTGCAAATGTTTTAGCTATCACTACCACAGCTTCTACTACAAATACTTATATGACATTGTCTATACTCGCACTGTCCAATAAGATAGCTACTAGCCACATGGAGCTATTTCAATTTAAATTAGTTCAAGTTAAATAAAAATTAAAAATTCAACTCCTCTCTAATACTAGCTACATTTTAAATCCTCAACAGCTACATTTCCATCTCTACAGAAGTTCTATGGGATAGTTATACTCTATATTCTTGGAATAGATAAAAACAAACAAACAAAAACTTAATATGCAAAGTTGATATAAATAATAGTCATCATTTCATCAGTTGCTTGAAATCAAGAAGAAATTTTTAAATTAAAGCAAATCTGTAAAACACATGTCAGTGAAAACAAAAGAATTTCAATGAAAGGCTTCAGCACTGGTAATTTTTTTTTTAATATATATTTTATTGATTTTTTACAGAGAGGAAAGGAGAGAGAGAGAGAGAGCTAGAAATGTCAATGAGAGAGAAACATCGACCAGCTGCCTCTTGCACACCCCCTACCGGGGATGTGCCTGCAACCTATGTACATGCCCCTGACCGGAATCGAACCTGGAACCTTTCAGTCTGCAGACCGATGCTCTACCACTGAGCCAAACCTGTTTCGGCAGCTCTGGTAATTCTTAATAAAATGGACAAAGTTTCTTATAGTTAACATTATACATTAAAAATTAATCTACAGTGAGAAAAGTTGCCCAAATTTTAAAAACTTTCATTTAAAATAACTCAAGAAAAACGCATATTAATTGAATATGTGATTATATGCAAAATTAACAATAATCTAAGTAAACTACATTACAGTTATACTTATCAATCCTTCCTACCTTTCCAAAGAAATGAAACTAAATTTTCTGAAGTAGTTCTATAATTTTTCTTTTGATTACCCAGTGACACAGCTTCTGAAGTCTTGGGTAACTATGGCATACCTCTCTAGACGTAGAACATGTTTGCAAGGCTGGAGCCACACCTCTTTCAGCTGTGTACCCCATACTGGACTGAGCAGGTTTTGTCTACACAACCAGTCTTAAATAAATGTTGGTCAAATTGAATTAGCAAAACTATATCATAAGGTAGTAAACATCAACATCAAGTAGATAAAAATGATTCTAGAAAAAAGGTACAGCTATAAAGAATATATTTTAAGAAAAAATTTACACCAGAAAGTCTTGAGAGTCTCATAAAGAAGTAACCATTTATGCTAACCGCAACTTCATTCAAAAAGAACAAACTTCAGTAGAAAGTATGACACATTTCTAGAAAAGGTTGTGGTTATAAAGGAATAGAAGTAAAATGATTTCCCTTACAAATTTTATACCACACGTAAGAAGGGAGAATTTCCTAAATTACTCCTTAAGAGAAAAAAATTATGGTAACACACTATGCTAAACTTAGAACAAATCTTAATTTTTTCAAAATCTTAATAAGATTCTATTTTCTTTTACTGATAACAATGATATATTTACTATGTCAATTTGTTCCTACAAATCGCTTTTGAAAAGTTAACGAAATAATCTTATTTTCTTTACAAATATCATAGTTCACTGACAATTCCTATAGTGAAAACAACATTCTTCCATGACCTTAAATATGTTTGACTATGCTAATATAGAAATAGCTCTAATAAATGTTTATTTTGATTAAGTTAAGAATATATTCATTTCAGCCAAGTTGGTGACATGGTTCTCAGACAAAAACAAGGCAAAACATCAAGGCAAAATAATAACAACCAGAGGAAAATATTTAAAGCACTGTTAAACTCATAAATTTAGGAGGAAATCTAAGTCCTCAAATTCTACTAACAAGGAAAGCCTATGTCAAATTAAACTTCCTTCTAAAAAATACTTATCAGAGATCCACAGATTTATGAACAAATATTTACAAAAAAAAAGCTCATTAAACTGTGCTCATGGAAATAAATTAAACTACAATTGCAAAAACTGACTTGATATCACAGTTCTGCATTCATAAAATCACTAAAGATTTAATGAGATGGTTCTTAATTTCTTTAGTTATTCTTAACCCTACTATGGGAAAATCATAGGCTATACTTATTTTAACAAACAAGGGGATTCCTTTGAACATTAGTGCTCCTTATCAAATGTTTACTATATGCATGAGAGAGGGTAATTTATTTTTAAGTCACCAATATTAAAACAGGAATTGATTCATCTGATGAATTTCTTCCAAATCAGTATTCTAAGTACCTGGGAGCAAGTATATCAGAAAAAAGATATAAAGGGAGGTGGATAGATCTCCAAATTCTGCATGTGTCAGTTTCCCCAGACTTAGAGTTTTTACAAAATATCTTAGAGTTAGAAATACTCTTAATTATGCAGTTTCCTTAAATTTGTTTTGAAAAAAGGTTAAGTATAAATAAATGACACATAAGCATCTATAATTCTAGCAGCTGGTATTATCTGTATTAACACTGGTAGATACTTTAATGTGTTTTTTCAGGTTTTTGATCAATAAAATTCCTGGCTACTGCCAAAACTGGTTTGGCTCAATGGATAGAGTGTTGGCTTGGGGACTGAAAGGTCCCGGGTTCGATTCCAGTCAAGGGCATGTACCTTGGTTGCGGGCATATCCCCAGTAGGGGGTGTGCAAGAGGCAGCTGATCGATGTCTATCTCTCATTGATATTTCTAACTCTCTATCTCTCTCCCTTCCTCTCTGTACAAAATCAATAAAATATATATATTTTTAAAAATTCCTGGCTACTGAGTCAGTGCTTTTTTGTCTTTAATTCAAGATGCTATTTCTATAGTCATCTCTTTTATGATGGCAAATTTTACTTATTAAGAAGTATATTGATTTGTTTTCAAATTATAATTTCTCATAAATAAAATGTAACCCTCCCCCCCCAAGATATACATTTTCAATGTTTTTATTCCCCCTTATGTTAATGAAATCATGATTATTTAGAAATAAATACTAAAATGAAACTTAGTGCCTTGTTCTGTGTAACCAAATCTAAGAACTATATTAAAGCTTGTTATAAAGTCCATAAATAGTTTTGGGTAGTTGAGCAAAACTTACTGTTTAGAACATTCTCCAGTTTTTGCGTCATGGATCCTTCTACTTTTTCCGTTCCATCCGCTTCCAGTTTTTGATGGATGGCTACAACAAAATGTCTAGTTAAAATTTAGGCTTTTAAATGGATGGAAAAATACATTACATTGAAATGACACTTTTAAACAATTTTTCAAAATAGTTACACTATTTTCACTGATGGAAAAAAGCACAAATGTGCAAAAACTCTGCATAAACTCAGCAGAGTAACCAAGAGACACCAGTTTAAATTATTTATAGTTTCATGCTAATGAAATAGTACATTATATACATAATCATGTAATCCTGAATGTTGAGAGATAACAACAGTTTAATTACAAAAGAAAAGTAAGACTTAAGTAAATAATATCTTTGATATTTGGTCATAGGAAAGTTATACTTATTTCTCGGTTCATTATCTGCTTTCTATTTTTATAGTGGTCTATTTTATGGCAAATTTTATGTACTTAGAACTATACTGGCTTGTTTTCAAATTATGATTTCTCATAAATAAAATGCAAAAAGAAAAAAAAAACCCTGCCTATTAGAAATATTACTATTTGAATTATATCAAGCTAAAAATATTTAATTTCAGTCCTGGGACATAACATGGTCAAATATATATTATTCATTTACTACTAATTCATACTATAATTATTTCACTGGAAGTTCCAAAGAAATATCTAGTGACATCTTCTAAAACATCAATTTGTGGATGTAGAAATTACATTGGAGTTTTTTGCCAATATTCATATATGTACACATAACTCATATAAATATTATCAGGAAATCACTTATATTTTAAAACTCTTTAGCCCAGTCATCGGCAAACCCAGTCATCGGCAAACAGAGCCAAATATCAACAGTACAACGATTAAAATTTCTTTTGAGAGCCAAAATTATTAAAGTTAAACTTCTTCTAACACCACTTCTTTAAAATAGACTCGCCCAGGCTGTGGTATTTTGTGGAAGGGGCTAAAGAGCCGCATGTGGCTTGTGAGCTGCAGTTTGTCGACCACTGATATAACCTATTAAAAAGGGGAGGTTTCAAACAGAGCAAATCAAGCTCAGGTGAAGCACTTAGGAAATTTTCAAATCAAAATAACCAAATATAATTTCAAATTCAAAATTGTGACATAATAAAAAAATGGCAAACCACACATTAATTTAGCCATGACCATAAGTTAAGCTCTATGATATTTCTAATGCATACTGCATTGTAAGAGGCCAATGTTGCATGTTCTACTATTATTTCTATTTCACAGATGGCTCAGTGAAAATAAATAATTTGGCAGAAGTCTCAAAGCCAATCCCAAAATCTGAACTCAAGCGGTCTGATCCCAGAATAAATAAATAAATAAATAAATAAATAAATAAATAAATAAATAATCATCTATCTGAACAGCATCAACTAAGTCTCTATTTTCACATCTTTAAAATAAAAATAATAGACTTATTATGTCAGTTGGGAAGTGAATTCAGTTGCAAATAAAACAACCTCTCTCAAAAATAATAGCTGCTAAAACACCTAGAATTTTTTTCTTCCGCATAAGTTGCTGTAGCAAAAACTCAAATGCAAGACACTGAACTTACTAATAACATCACTCTTATGTCCACTATTCTCCAACTCTTTCCTAAAGGAACTTACTGGTTCTGCCTCAACCCGGCCAGTCATGGGAGGCAGATATGTAGGGGGAAAAGTCTAAGAAAAAAAGAGTGTATTTCTTTTTAAAACTTTGGAGATAAAAATGTCCAAATATTATAAAGTGAAACTAGAAATACTTCCCTGTTCAATACAAATAAATCTATTCATACTATTTATTTAAATGTTGCTATAATTTTTTGACCAGCCAGTTGGTACTTCTTGCATTTCACTAAGCAGGCACTACATGGAGTATGTCCATGGCAATAAGACATGACAGCTTATAATAACCCTACTTTCTACATCAAAATTAGCATTAAAGGAAATCATGAAGCCAACATTTTCTGTTGCTAACAAAACCCATCACTGATCAGCAGATCAAGACAAGGTGATCCTGGCTTCCCCTCACCCCCAGCTCAGTGCACAGCCCCTCTCTGGTGACAAAGCAGCTTCCTGACAACCAATTCCACCACAGAAGAGCCACTGTCAAGCTGTCAGCCAAGCACGAGGACTGAGAGACACAGGGACCTGATAAAGGATATCCTATTTTCCAGAAAATTAAACCAAATAACCAATGTTTGGCTCACTTGACCTTTTATTTTATCTAAAACACTTTTAAATGATATAACTCAATAAGCAAAATGGTACACGATGTGGCTTGAGGTTTGTTTTGTTTCTAATCTATTGAAACTTGAAGCAATTTAATGCCATAAATTTATATTTGGGAAACAAAAAAAGTATGCATATAAAAGTTCTATTCAAAGAAAAATCAGAGTTATACCATTTTCCCGAAAATAACACAGTGCCTTATATTAATTTTTGCTCCCAAAGATGCGCTAGGTCTTATTTTCAGGTGATGTCTTATTTTTCCATGAAAAAGAATACGGTACACATTTATTGTTAAATGAAAATAAAGGAAATTTATTACCTGTATACGGTACGGTAGTACGGTAGTTGTCAACACAAACCAGACAAACTGTGAATCCTACAGTATCAAGAATTTACTCATTTATTCAATGACAATCATGTTATCATCTTCTGGATCATCATAACAATCCAATTCCTGAATTTCCTGGTGAATTTCTTGTGACTCCATTTCTTTCAGAATCAGTGGACCAAATCTCTCATGTTTAGCCTGGGGGGAGGGCCTTATTTTCGGGGGGGGGGGGGGATGCCTTATATTTCACTCAGAAGGAAACCTGTAAGTAGGTTTTATTTTCGAAGATGTCTTATTTTCGGGGAAACACGGTAGAAAGACTGCCAATTGATTCATTAAAATTATTTTAACTTTCTAGTAAAATATAGACATTTGATAAGCAAAATTCAATCAAAGTTATCATATGTGTCCATGCATTTATATAATGACATTATTAAATGAGACACTAAGAAATGGCATGTATGGCAATGACCCTAAGGGTTCAGAGTCAGGTACACTGTGGTGTATCTACTCTAACTTCCATGTTACTACTAACCTGTGTGACATGAAAATATTCAAACTAGGTAGGTCCAAGATTGACAAACTATTTCTACAAAGAACCAGAGAGTAAATACTTTGTGGGCCATAATGAGCCTCTATAAAGTCTTCTTCTTCTCTTCCCATTCTTTAAAAAAAAAAAAAAAAACCCTTGTAAAACATAGGCATGTTTTAGCTCCTGGGCCTGTACAAAGAAAGGCTGGCCTTATTTGGCCTATGTGCCAACCTCTGAGCATCATATTTACTAAAAGAAAAGTCCAGGAAGGATTAGGGTAAGATGTATTAATAATTTAAATTTGTGAATAGCTTTTCAAACATTTAGTTTCTACTACTTCTTCTACTAAATTTGTATGAGTGGCTAAATATATATGAATTCTATTTAAATTGTTTTAAGTAATCTGTGAATCCTTTCCTTTCTCAGTTATATTGAGAAAAATAATAATAATATAATTGCACCTATTACATAGAAGACTAAAGGATTCTCACTCAGATAACTGGGTCTTATATAACCACTAGAGGCCTGGTAAACAAAATTCGTGCACTCGGGGGGGGGGGGGGGAGGAAGAGGAGGAATCCCTCAGCCAGGCCTATGCCCTCTCACAGTCTAGGACCCCTCGGGGGATGTCCAATTTATGACTTAGGCCCACTCCCCCTACCCCAGGGGTGGACCTAAGCTATCAGTTGGATATCCTTAGTGCCACCAAAATGGGAGAGGCTCCTGCCACTGCCACTGCCGCTGCCCCTGCCACTGCACTCGCCAACCATGAGCCAAGCTTCTAGCTGAGTGGGGCTCCCCCTGTGAGAGCACACTGACACCAAGGGGCAGCTCCTGCATTGAGCATCTGCCCCTTGGTGGTCAGTGCACATCATAGCGACTGGTCTTTCTGCCATTTGGTCTATTTGAATATTAGCCTTTTATTATATAGGATACTTGCCTTTATACATTAATAGATACTAACAATTTAATGTGCCAAAAAATCAATATGGCTTACAACTATCTGGAGTAGCAGTAATAAAAATAATAAGGAAGGGCGAACCAATTATGTACTAAGTAACGTGTTTAGTTACTCTGTTTTGGTCTCTTTATTCTGTTACTCTTTAGTATATCATAAAAAGAAATAGTTCATACAGTTTGGGCCCATACTTGTCCTAAAAAACAGTGCTAATTCTGGATTTACTATTAAAAAACAGGTGACAAGTTTAAGGGGCAGTTAGGAAAATGATTACCGAAATAAAGGTGATAATCTGAGACCATGAAGAAGCACAGACAGAAGGCCTTTAATGTTGGGAGAAGCTCCATGAACATCAGCATAGCCTGAGAGGACTGCTGTGAGCAGTAGCTAGTAAGAACCATGGCTCATCAAGACTTCAAGGAATTGGGAAAGAATAGCAGAGACAGCCATGGGAAAAGTGAAATATATGATACTAGAAATATTTCTGTAGGATATAGTAAAGGAAAATCTATAATACACTGAGATTAACATGGGCAGATTAGTTATGCCAGACACACTTCTTGTCAAGTTCTAATTAAAATAAACACAAGGGGGGGGGGGGAGGATGACCAGAGCATAAAAATTTAAAGATAAAGATCAGCCTGGCAAGCATGGTTCAGTGTTTGAACATCAACCTATGAACCAGGATGTCACGGTTCAATTCCTGATCAGGACACATGCTCAGGTTGCAGGCTCGATCCCCAGTGTGGGGTGTGCAAGAGGAGTGTGGGGTGTGCAGGAGGCAGCCAATCAATGATTCTCTCTCATCACTGATTTTTCTCTCTTTCTCTTCCTTTCCCTCTCCCTTCCTTTCTGAAATCAATAAAAATACATTTTTTTAAAAACTGAAGAGGAAGATCTGACTGCCAGGTTTATTATAACTTAGATTTAATTTATGTAATTAAATTGGGCATTAATAATATATCAGAGTGCTATGAAGAGAACATGCCCTACCCCACCCATTTCTATCTTTGGCACAGTTGCAGAAAATTGACGTATATTAAGAAATACATTTATTTTCATAATATTGTAAAACTAAAACTAAATTTATAAAACAAGTCTACTATAATTAGATAAAAAAGAAAAATTCACATTTCAAATCCTGAAAACACAAAAATGGCATCACTAACAACCAATGTAAATAAAGGAAGAACACACAAATAAACTGAATTGATAATGAGAAGAGCCTAAAACATAAATTTTAAATAATTTAAAAATTATAATACGATGCTAAAAAACATGAAAATATTTATGAAAAGAGAATTTTGGTATAACCCAAACAAAAATAAATAAAACATAGGGATAGTAGAAATTAAAAATAAATAAATGGGTATATACATATATCTGCCAGTGCTCACTTCACTTGAACCCAATGGTCCATCATAGTGTCCTACAAAAGGAACAAGTAGACACTAATAGCCTCCTGACGTGATCACGTAGGAAGCACATGCTCACTACCACACGTAGTAAAAAATGTTGAAAGTGAATCTTACTAATGTTCAAATAGGTAAGTTCAAACTATAGAATAGACTAAAATAAGTTAAATGACACCATGGGAAAATAATCAGTCAAATTTAGACTATGGAATATCCTACAGGACAAGTAACCTTGATTCTTCAATAAATCATTGGCATGGCAAGGGGGTGGGGGGGGGGGGGCGGGGGACACATGTTACTTTAAAAGAGGCTTAAGAAACTTTAAAAAAAAAAAAAAAAGAAAAGAAAAGAAAAGAAAAGCCGGGACCGGTTTGGCTCAGTGGATAGAGCGTCGGCCTGCGGACTGAAAGGTCCCAGGTTCGATTCCGGACAAGGGCATGTACCTTGGTTGCGGGGACATCCCCAGTGGGGGATGTGCAAGAGGCAGCTGATCGATGATTCTCTCTCATCGATGTTTCTGACTCTCTATCCCTCTCTCTTCCTCTCTGTGAAAAATCAAGAAACTTAAAAAAAAAAAAATGAAATACCTGGACCTTATTTGGATCTCCATTTGGCCAAAATAAAAAAGTTGGAGGGTAAGTGGGGAAATTTTAATATGAACTGGGAATTAGATGATATTAAAGAATTATTAAAACTTTTGTTAGCTGTGATAATGGCATTGGTAGGTAAATGTCCCTGAGGAGAGTGGGGACTCATACTAAAGTATGTAAGAGAGAAATGTCACGCTGTTTGAGTTTCACCACAAGGGATCAGAAAAACACCAACCGACCGCAAAAAACACTGATGACAGAAGGATAGAAAAATATGAATAACTGTTAAATCTAGATGATAGGTAGATGGGGATAACTATCTTCTCCACTTTAAGCATGTTTGAAATTTATCATAATAAAAAGTAAAATAAATTACTCGAGCAATTTATTAGCTCTTTCAATGTATTAGTTCTTTCAAATTTCCAACACATAATTCCTAATGTATATAACCCATTTCAAAGTATAAACATGTACACATAGATTCATATGATTCTGTATAACAATAAAACTAAAGCCTGACCAGTAATTAGCATTTTTTAAAATTATAGATCAATTCCACCAAAGATACTAAAAAAATTTTCTAATGAGTTACTAATAAATCAAATGTTATAGTATACTAAAATACCCAGAGAACTAAACTAAAGAATAAAGATTTCTAACATATACAACTTGATATATATTTTTAATTTTGTAGTATGTACTCATCTAAGCTAACGGGGAAAATACCCAAAGGGAAATACATTAATATATTAACATGATTATCTCTACAATAGAATTACACTAGTTCTTTCTTATTATTTACTGTTTATAATATGTATTTCACTGACATCACAGAAATATAAAAGCTAGATATATGTGTTTAAAATTTTCAAATTTACTATTAAAATCATTTTCTATATGGAATAGTCAGTTGCTTATTAGTAGTTGGTCACCATTATCTTTGTTAAACTTTTTTCTTTCTTTTTAATTCTCCCTGGAGTATATGCCTTTATGGATTTTTAGAGAGAGAAAGGAAGAGAGTGAGGAGGAGAGAGAGAGAGAGAGAGAGAGAGAGAGAGAGAGAGAGAGAGAGAGAGAGAGGGGCACACAGACAGAGACATTGGCATGGAGAGAAAAATCAGTATGTTTCCTTCTATATGCACCCCAAATGAGGATTTAACCCACAACATGGACATGTGACCTGACCAGGAATCGAACCTACACTTTTTGATGCATAGGACAATGTTCTAACCAAGTGAGCAACCAGGCCATGGCTCTTTGTTAAACTTTGAAGTTACCAACATACTACTAGGGCAAATGTCTAATAAATGAGACCACATAAATTTAATGCACAAAATAAAACTTCTTGAAATCTGCTAAGATTGAGGCCATCTATAGAAGTAAAATCATAAACAAAGAAATACAAGTATATATGTATAAATAAATATGTATTTTTTCAAAACAAGTAGAAAGTCAAACATACTTTTGCTAAGTGAAATAATTATAATTTTAAAAATCTTTGAGAATGGCTAATTATATATAGCAAATTATCATTTGTATAGATACTAATAACTTAATTCTACTTGATAACACTAAACTGTTCACATATGCTCAGGTTTCTATTGTGGACATAACACTGACAACTTAGAATATCAATAAGCACAAAGAAAAACACACTCATCAAAAATTAAGGGCACAGCCCGGCTGGTGTGGCTCAGTGGTTGAGTGTAGACCTATGAACAAGGAGCTCAAGATTGGATTCCAATCAGGGCTCATGCTTGGGTTGTGGGCTGGGTCCCCAATAGAAGGCGTGTAGGAGGCAGCAGGTCAATGATTCTCTCTTATCATTGATGTTTCTATCTCTCCCTCTCCATTTCTCTGTGAATTTACAACAATATATTTTAAAAAATAGGGGGCATGGAATATTTATTAAAGAAGCCTACCTAACTTCTCTGTTCCATCCTGGGCATTTGCATTTTATCCCATCAAAAACCTCCTTGGATCTGCAAGGAAAGAGCTGTACCAGATGCACATTTCACTTATCAGAAGTTTGGCCCAGGAAGAAGGGACTTTAAAAATAATAAAAAGATGTCTGTACTTTAAGAATAAAATTAATTTTAAAATTTAGTCTTTCTGAATAGAAGAAGTTGTGGCTTCCTTGTCAAATCAATACTTAGCTATATCTAGGTATCAGGTTATAAGAGTCTTTGTTTTTAAAAGAACTGAGCTAACTTTTATTAATGTATTTTACTTTTCACTAGATAAACAATAAGTTGATTTTTATTAAAGACAGTTTTAGGGGGGAAACATACCCAATATATTTCCCTGAAATGTCTAAAACTATGTTATTTCTATTTAATACAGTCAGTTTCCCTTACATATACAGAGGAGGACATGCATGGTGAACAGTTAAATATTGTAGATAGTACTGGTAGGGTGATGGCTAAAGAGTATTATGTTACTATCAGTCTTTTTGAAACCAAACACACAATAGGTCCCATTTATAGAATTAGTCACATGTGTAAGATATTGATGGCTAGGGATTTTTAAAATTCTAGAATTTAACCCATTGGGATTTAATTTCTTATTGACCCTGGAGACTGGGCATTGTGGAGAGGCAAAGTGGTCTCCTATTTCACACATGTACCATGGGTCTACAAAAACCTCAGAAACAAATATTTAAAGTATCAAGCCTTCAAAGAGATTCCAGCCTAGTCTGCAACAAATATTTAGGGCACATTTTATATCTCTACTTGTATAAACACAGACCGAGTGTCACACCCTGTAAACACTCTGCAAACACAGTATCAGGTTTCTGCTGTGGAAGCCACAGCAGATGGCTCACAGGGTCACTTTACCTGCAAGAGCATCCTGTGCTTCAAAGAAAGTACTAAGACCCCCTTTCACACAGGCCAGGCTACCCTCACTCTTCTTGTTAGCCTGCCTCTTCAGGTTGGAAACTGCCATTTTGAGCTGCTCAAAACTGAAATGAAATAAAAGAAACCAAAAGTTTGACACTCCTAACAAGCAAAAAAGCAATAAGATAGTCCATCCTATATAATAAAGGGGCATCCTATATAATAAAGAGGCAATATGTAAATTGACCATCACACCCTTGCACAAGATGGCCGCCCCCATGAGATCACAAGATGGCCACTCCCATGTGGTCACAAGATGGCTGTGCCCATGTCATCACAAGATGGCTGCAATAAGATGGTCAGCAGGGGAGGGCAGTTGAAGGTGAACAGGCCAGCAGGGGAGGGGAATTGGGGGCGATTGGGACAGCAGGGGAGGGGAATTGGGGGTGATTGGGACAGCAAGGGAGGTTGAGGGAGACTGGGCCTGTAGGGGAGGAGAGTTGGGGGGGACGAGCCTGCAGGGGAGGGCAGCTGGGGGCTGGAAGGGCAGGGCAATTTGAGGTGACCAGACCTGCAGAGGAGGGCAGTTAGGGGTGACCAGGCCAGCAGGGGAGGGCATTTTTGGGGCAACCAGGACAGCAGGGGAGAGCAGTTGAGGGTAATTGGGCCAACAGGGGAGGGAAACTGGGGGTAATCAGGTGGGCAGGGGAGTGGTTAGGGGGTGATCAGGTTGGCAGGCAAGTGGGTGAGTGGGTAGTTGGGAGTCAGAAGGCCCAGATTGTGAGAGGGATGTTCGACTGCTGGTTGAGGCCTGATCTCATTGGAGAGGGTGCAGGTTGGGCTTAGGGACACCCATTCCTCAGTATTTCAGAAATTTTATTTTTATCTGGGCTAAGAAGGTTGGCTATAAAACTTTGAATATGTTGAGTGCCATGATAGCTCTATACAGAAAAGAGATCAATTCTGACTTATAGTAATATAAAAAGCACATCCATAATATAAAATCAGAACTATCTCCTAAAATAAAGGATTTCAGACATTTGCTTTAAAAATTTATCAGGCCAAATTTATTCTATGTCTATTCCAATTGTCCCTCATGTTTTCTACTAATGGTTTTCTTCCAAATAGAAGGAGAATTTTTCCTAAGTTATATTTTAACAAGTTAAATTTTCCAGAATATAAATTTTAAGCAATAAAACATTCATTAAAGCATTTTTACTAAAGATAATTGTTTTAAAAGTCTTGCAAAAAAAGTTAAAAACCTGATTTTGTAGAGAAAGTGGGTAAAATGTAATTAGCAGACAAAAAGGAGCACTTTAATTTAGATATATGACCTTGTCTATTTGTTTTATCTAATTTTACACCAAGTCTTTGCAAAATGATAAACCAAGTCATCTTCCTTTGCTCTATGATCTGGGAAGGAGGTTTATTTCCTACTTTACACCAGGTCTTGAAATTTTTGTTATTTAAGTTGAGAAAAGTCACATTCAGACACATCAGTTTCATTACATAGCTGAGACTCCACAAAGTTTTCATGGGTTGCACAAATAATGAAACTGATGGAAACAACAGGATAGTAAGAAATAAGGACCCTCTAATTAATAACCCCATTTTACAAATAAGGAAATAAGTACCCTGAGAGGTCTACAAGCTCACCCAAAGTTAAAGGGCGCTGAGAGAACTAGACCTAAAAACCCACATCTTCACTGCATCTGAGTGAATAACTCAAAATCAACCACATCACTAACCTGGTGGTTGAGTGATTCTCTATCAGATACCAGGCAGCTGAAAAATTCTCACTTGTAAAATCAGCACTCATTCCAGGAAACAGCATTTCCAATTCCTTCTGGGGAAATTTACTTCTGTGGGGGGGAAAAAAGTTTACAATATAGTTCAAGTTCTATTACTTACAAAGATGTAACAGATGTCCAGGAGTACCTAGTATAACAAATATAAATACAAACCATTAAAAGTACACATCTACATAATGAAGCATATGTTTTTATGTGTATACAAATAAATTTCCTACACCTCAGCTGATTTATTATATATCAACTAGAGGCCTGGTGCATGAAATTCGTGCATGGGTGCAGTCCCTAGGCCTGGACGGCGATCGAAGTGCATCTGGCGTGAAAGGACAGGTCCCAGCTGACCTCTGGGCCCTGGGAAGCACCTGGGCCCCTGAGACACCCCCCCCCCCCCGTCCCAATTCGCCTGAGTCACAGTGCCTGCGACCCTACATGGAGATGCAGTGAGCGCAGCCAGATGCCGCGACCCTGGGTGCAGCATGGGCCTCTGGCCACCCAGGGCATTGCACAGAAGCCAGGCAGACAGTGCGGTCTCTCCCAGCCAGCCTCACAGACCAGCTCCTGCACAAATCCACAGAGAGCCTAACTGGCCCCTATGGTCTTGGCAGCTGAACCAGCTCACACAGAAGAAGCCAGGCGAATGCAGATCAGGCTCCTCATGGGCACGCGACAACTGAGCATGGGGGCTTCCCTGGCACATAAGCCCTGGTGTCTCAAGAGAGGGTATCAAGGGGAGTGAGAGTGAACTTAGTAGATACCCTATATTCTCACTGCACCTCCGTCCCCATCACACCTACCCCCAGGTAGGTGGTGAGAGGTTGCAGTCCCCCAACCAAGTGCCACAGGAGGTTGGCCCCGGGCCTGGCCTAAATTGGGCGAACAGAGCCTGCCGGCCACTGGTAGCTATCTGTAGGGCTATCGGTTGGGGCAGGGCCACTGAACCAGCTTCCTCAGCACCTGGGAGCTGGGCAGCAACCCTACACAACCCACTCACACCCCCACCTCTGATGCAGCCACTGGTCACTATCAGCAGGAAAATCAATGTGACCGAGCCCACTGTCTGGCTCCCTCAGTGCCTGGGAGCCAGGCGGCAGCCCCACCTCCCAACTGCTGGTTGCCATCTGCGGGGCAATTGGGCCCCTGCTCACACCCACCTTGGCCTGGTGCCTCTGGCTCACTTGCTCCACCATCCCACTGCAGTTCTGCTCTCATCAAGGCTCATTGGGACCAGCAGTGCCTCCACTGCCGCCTGCTACCAGCACTGCTTCACTGAACCCCACCATGTTCTGGGCCACCCCTGGTGATCAGTGCATGTCATAGTGAACGGTAAAACTCCAGGTTAAGCTGACAATTTGCATATTAGGCTTTTATTATATAGGATTCTAAATACATTTAATAGGAAATTAATTTAAATATAGAAAATCCATTAACACTAGAATATAAGATTAAATGTAAGAAAATATAAGAACTAAGTTGATACTTTATAAAATCTATCCAGAGCCAGTGAGTGAGCATAGGCTTGTTTGGGCAGCATTAGGGGAGCAATGCCTAAGTCAAAGAAACTTGTTTCTTCAGGCTCTTCTGGCAGTGGTTCTGAGAGTGAAGTTAACAAAAAGTGAAAGAGGAAACAGCAAGTTACTTCGCCTGTAAAGAAGCAAAAGGTTGGTGAAACTCAAGAGCCCTGCCATTTTCAGAGCAGAGCAGCAGCAGCAGAGATAACATGTTTCAGATTGGGAAGATGAGGTACCTCAGCATTCAGGACTTTAAGGAAAAGTACTAATTGATACCAGAGAATATTGAATGGATCCAGAGGTGAAATGAAATCAGGAAGAAAAGGTGTTTATTTAAATCCTGTCAGCTGAAGGAACAGATTTCTGACATTTATGATGCAATAAGAAAACTGAAATCAGAGAAATATAAAACCTGTACTATTCCAATTGTTTTAATCTGTTATTTTACATAGGCTTTTTTTTTTAATATATTTTATTGATTTTTCACAGAGAGGAAGAGATAGAGAGCTAGAAACGTCGATGAGAGAGAAACATCAACCAGCTGCCTCTTGCCCGCAACCCAGGTACATGCCCTTGACCGGAATCGAACCTGGGACCTTTCAGTCCGCAGACCTATGCTCTACCACTGAGCCAAACTGGTTTCAGCAATAGGCTTTTGTTTTTTAAACGTTTCCTCAGCTATTGTATATTGGAATTGCCGAACAATTGAACAAATAATGTGCATTATTTAAAATGTTCTCAGTGAAGCTATTTAGGGGGATTGCTTTGAGCTCACCACCTAGTGCAAAATAAAATCAAGTAATACAATCTTTATTTAGGGGGATTTATTTAGGGGGATTGCTTTGAGCTCACCACCTAGTGCAAAATAAAATCAAGTAATACAATCTTTATTGTTGTGGCCTTGTTTGATCCAAAGAATTGGAGCTCTTTAAGGCCAAAAGTTAACAGTTTAGTTTTTAATTTAAACTTTTTGCTCTTTTTCTTAAATATATTATGCTAATCTAGAAAATTCAGTGGATCTGTTGAAATGTTAATTATCTTAATAAAGAATTTGTAACTAAAATATTATATGAGAACTACAACCACTAATTCAACTGTATTAAATATTAGATGTAGTTTGATAAACAAAATGGCTTATATGAAAATTCTGAGCAAGTAAGTGTATCTCATGATCTGTAGTGTTCTGTGTAGTACTAGGTGTATCAGTTAATAATGCAGATTTTTTTTTCAATAGACGGAGATACACATATGTTGATATATATGTGATTTGATATGTATGCTATTTTGTTGTATTGACAACAAGATTCAAAACTTCATTATGTCAAATTTTCTGATGGTTTTAACATCATAGATATTTTTACACTTAAAAATGTCAAATTTCATGCCCCCCCCCCCCCAAAAAAAAGCATTTGCGGTAAATTTTAATTCATTACTTTATTTTGAAGAAAAGTACTGTTGAATACTTCGGGAAGCTTATGGTGAACATACTCCATCTTAAGATACTTGTGAACGCTGGTGTAAATGCTTTAAAAGTGACGGTTTTGATGTGAAAGACAAAGATGTTCAGGTCAACTGAAAAGTCTTAAGACCAACAATTACAAGCATTATTGGATGAAGATGCTTGTCAAACTTAAAAACAACTTGCAGAAAGATTAAATGTTGCTCAGCAAACAATTTCTGATTTATACAAGAAATGGGAAAGATTCTAAAGGAAGGAAAGTGGGTGCCACATCAACTGAATGAAAGACAAATGGAAAACTGAAAACTAATGCACATTTTAAAAAGTATTCTTACCAATTGTTCGGCAATTCCAATATACAATAGCTGGGGAAACGTTTAAAAAACAATGAGTTTTTTAAAAAACAATGAGTAAAATGTTGCTTCAATGGCACAAAAAAACATATTTTTTGCATCGAATTGTGACTGGTGATAAAAAGTGGATTTATTTTGAGAATCCCAAATGCACAAGTCATGGGTTGATCCAGGTCAACCATCAACATCAACTGCAAGGCCAAACTGCTTCGGAAAGACAATGCTCTGCGTTTGGTGGGATCAGGAAGGTGTGGTGTATTATGAGCTTCTAAAACTAGATGAAATCATTAATACTGATAGCTACTGACAACAAGTAATCAATTTGAACCACGCTTTGATTGCGAAGGGACCAGAATGGGCCAGAGAGACAGTAAAGTAATTTTGCTTTATGATAATTCACCATCACACATTTCAAAACCAGTTAAAGACACGTTAAAAGATCTTGCCTGGGAAATATTAACCCACCCACTGTATTCACCAGACCTTGCTCCTTCATATTATCACTTCTTCCAATCAATGGTCCACAAACTTTCTGAGAAGTAGTTCAAAACATACGAAGAAGTGGAAAATTGGGTCTATGAATGGTTTGCCTCAAAACAAAAAAAGTTCAATTGGGACTGTATTCACAAATTTACTGAAAGATGGGGAAATGTGTAGTTAGCAATGGACACTACTTTGAATAAAGCACTTTTGATAATTAATTTCAATGTTTTAATTTCAAGTTTATCTTAAACTTATCATGTTTTCTTTGATAACAAAATCCATTATTTTTAATGGATACACGTAGTAGTTATCTTATTGCTTAGTCTGCAGAAAATAAAGACTTAGATGTCTGATTTGCTTTCATTTATAAACATGTTCACCATAGTCTGGTATCTATAATATCAGATATTGTTAAGTTAGATTAGGATTTAACAAAAATTATGAAAGCTTAAAAACAAATAAAAACACAGGAGAATCCAAGATGGTGGCATAGGTAACACCTAACTGCAGCCTCTCACAACAATTTCAATAAAATACAACTAAAAAGCAAAATGGACATTACCCAGAACTACAGAAAAGTCGACTGACTAGAAATTCTACAATGAGAAGAGAAAACCAGAAGGAAAAGCAGAGGAACTGTAAAAGCCTAAGGTACAGAGACACGTTGTGTGGGCAGAGAGGATGGAGCCGGAGAGGAGGGGGAGGCTGAGTGCCTGGCTGGCATTCCCTAGCAGGAAGGATATAAAAGCTCAGGACTGTGCTGAGCCTCAGTTCTAGGCCAGACACTGGGGACCTAGGCTCATACAGAGGGAGCCTGGGCTGTTAGGCGGAATCTCAGGACAGCGGTGAAAGGCAGAGCCTCCAGAGGCGTGCACATTACACGCAGAGGACAGACCGTTGACTCTGCTGCTAGATTGCCGTAGTAGGAAGGAGACAAAAGCTCTGGACTGTGCTGAGCCCCAGTTCCGACTGCACTGAACCCCAGTTCTAGGCCAGACCCTGGGGATCCAGGCTAATACAGAGGGAGACTGAACTGTAAGACGGAAACCCAGGGGAGCGGCGAAAGGAAGTCGCGGAGGCGTGCACATTGTGCGCAGAGGACAGTTGACTGTGCTGCTGGTTTGCCCTAGCGGGAAGGAGACAAAAGCTCCAGACTGCTCTGAACCCCACTTCCAACCCCACTTCCAACTGAACTGAACCCCAGTTCTGGGCTCACTGGAAGACAGCCTAGACTGTTTGGTAGCAGGC